CTGCATTTACATTACTTCATTTTCTTGCATGTTGAAATATTTCGTGTAGGGCAATATCAGATAATGCATAAGCATAACAATATGGAGCTGTGAAATGCAACAGAATGTGGTGGGCAACATGAAGATATTAAATCCGGGAACTGGGACGAACTTTATTTTGAGGAATATAGGGCTTGATAATAGATGGGAACATGCCATTCACCAATGTGTTTCCACTGTATAATGAACCACATTCTACCATGTTTTATTAGATAAAATGTACAGTGAAAGCTCCTTATCTGAAAAAAGAAATTTTGAAACAACTTCAGCAATTGAAAGAAGAGCATTGGCTGGGAAATCTTTATTGAAAAATATTAACAGGTAAAAAGAATAAGAGGGTACAAGCACACATCAACTTCTACTTAACAAAGTAGAATAATAAAAGAATTATGTCCACTCAAAAACAGAAAAACATAACTAACAAGTGATGAAAAATGGTAAACAAGAAACATTCTATCATAACTGAAGTTAATGTGGCTATCATTCTTACAATGAGATCTTGGAGTTTGCTTGCTCGCCGGACAACCCAGTGTGAAAGATATGTAGCAGGATAATACTCTGAAAAAAAACTTTCAACTGTTTCACTGTAACTTCTTCCTGATGAAGCTGGAATACTTCGAACTAAAATGGTAAACTGATGTGGATGAGGTTTTGATGAATAAAAGTAAGAAATTCTCTTTGATGAAATATAGTCATACTCCTGGAAATAAGGTGGTATCTCACTGTAAGTTGAAGTTTAGCAAGGATGAACAAGAAACAAAACAAAAGATATGTCAAATCACTTACAAAGTAAAGAAGATAGCAAACAACTGCCGTGAGGACATACACAGCTGAGAAATGGATCCATAACCTTGAAAGACAAAACAAATAACTCTCTCAGATTTTAGTGCCAACTACCAATATCAACATATTTTGCCAATGCATTACATGATCCGTTCTCAAGTTTCATTGGTAAATGATTTATAGATACAACTAGTTCAAGACATTGAATCCATAACGCGTTGATGTATAAGATGCAGAATCTTAGGTGTGGAGCTGTTACTGAAAACTTTAATAACAATGTTCTTCTTTAAGGGACCCAGTTTGAACATTCTGCAGATAAATATCATATAGTTTCTAGTGTCTGGGATAACTAGTGATTGGCTGAGAAACTTTAGGATGCATGTGATTTATTACATGCAATCTACTATCATGAGCAGAGCTGAAAGAGAAAGATAAAATACGATTTAACAAGACAATACATAAGTCATAGAAGACATCCAAATTGAAAAATAAAAATATATGCACAAGCATCAAGGCTACCATAAATTCTAGTCAAAGATACATTGAATTATACGCACATGTCAAAGAAAAAGTATATGAGGCTTTTGCATAGTTGTTCTCCATTTAATCTCGATTGTCGGAATGATAACAAAGTGCTTCTTGTTGAAAACTTATACATCAAGGATCCCACAGACTAGATTCCGTCACACCACTATTTGAGCAGCGTAATATCAAAGAAAATCTTTTTAATCTGAAATCCCGATATAGACACTTTGTTACCAAAAGAATCTATGGCTTCACCAAAAAAGAGAAGACCAGTACAAACTGAGAAAGACTAAGACTGGTAGTCGATTTCAGTTTCATGGAGAAACAAGAATGTGATCCAATTTTATTGCCACAGGGCAATTTTACTTTTCACCATGTATAGATTCTTGTAGTGAAAAAAACTCTATTGACATCATAGTTGAATAAATTTTGAAGTGGAAGGTCTTCAGTTTACCTGTTTGATCCGTCGTCAACATTTGAGATAGTGAATGATTCCAGAGACTTGTTGGGCAAGTCAAACAAATCAAGACTTAGTTGTTTCCCCATGTAATTGATAGGCAGAAGAATGAAAATCCCCACGATGACAGCAAAGGTAAAAACTCTAGCACTGTTGAGATATGGGAAACCAGATTAGCTCAAGACAATGAACATGAACAGTAAAAATTAGTAAGGATCCAGATTAAGGTACAAAATTCAGAGTTCTGATTTTGAATGAATACTGAAAACTTCTTCAACGCTAACTCCCTTTTGAATTTATAGTTTAATGTTAGTTTTACAATGTTAGAGGTGTAGAGTTGTTTTTTTCTTATCTTCAAAATAAGGAGTTAGAAGTGTTAAGTAATCAAGTTCGATAGCGTCTGATATTGAAAAACAATATCGCCTTTAGATAGATGCATCCTCTTACCAAACTAATCAGGCCCCACATTCTGCTGATTACCTCTTATTTCTCACAGGGCAATAAAAGCATTTATGAACTTGGTGGAAATTTAAATAGTGTTCTGGCTTACCAGAGGGAGGCTTTAGACCGGGACCGCCTACCAGCCATATTTATTTTTTCTTTTCAAAGTTTACTGCTTTCATTTTAGTTAACCTCTCCAGCAGCTATGCTCCCATAATCGGAAAGGTTGTCGCCAGCCAGCAAAAAAAAATTCTCTTCATGGTTACTGCTTTTTTTTTGGCCAGATTCCAACAAACTACTTTTTCAACTACTTTTCTGGCGATTTTTTCGACAATAGTAATCAGGCCACTTTCTGTTGACTACTTGCTCCCATGTTTCCATAGTAAGCAAACTCAAGTTGGTTATCCCACCTCAAGTTTGAAGGGCGTGTTATAATTTCCAGTGGTAGTGTTAGAAGTGCTAAGTTGGTGTATTATATATCATCTCATGGTGAACATATATTGTATATTTCACATGGATAAATAGGTGCATCTTCAACTCCATATTAATCATAAAGTAATCAAGTAAAGCATTTTCCTAATCTCTTCAGTTATTTCTCACACTAGCCAATACCTAGTCTCTACGACACAAGCAATATTAGTCAACACCTAGTCTTTTCAGTAACAAGTATAAGTTGTCAATAACTAAGCAGAATTGTTGCTATAACATATGCTGCACCATAGAACTACAATGGTAAGGATAAAAGATCACTTTGACATCCTCAACGTTTTTGGTGGAAGTGGAAGAATAACATGGCCAGTTATCTTAGACCCAAATGTCAACTTCAGAGTAATACACCAAACAATTTCCAGCTAGCAAAATCAGTGGTGTATTGCACCATTCATATGTTTTCTTTCCTATTCTTACAACTGGCAGGTTTATTATTGAACAATTAATCTAGTACAGGCAAATCCTGGATATAAAATGCAAATGTCACTCACTGGAAATAAACATAAGGTGTGAAGTTCGGCACAGAAGCTATAATAAACAAATTATTCTCGTCAAGCCTTCATCGCATAACAGTGCTTAAGTAACCTGAATATAAAAATGCGCATGAAAACAACAGCATCCAAGCCCGAGGTGGATAAGAGCTCTGCTTCTGAGGGTCGCCATGCTCTCGTCACCCAACCAGCAGACGGCAAAAGTCTCTCCAAATTGAAATTACTGCTTTGCTGAGATTTCCCCTGAGCAACCAAGCGTGGTGCATAAACTTCCGCATTTCCTGGCTGCTTTCTCAATATAGAATACAATGTGAAGAACAGAAAACAAAGTCCAAGATTGATTCCAACAGAAGTCAAAAGTGCTGAGAGGATCATTCCTTAAATCCTTTCACTGAACTGTCTGCTTACAACATGAGCTCTTCAAATCAACAACACCGGAATACGAATAGCACAGATAATAAACATTTGTTAGTGCAGTTTATCGCAGCTTCTAGATAGGCTGCAAAATTATGAACAATCAAGATTTCAATTCAAAAGTGTCTTAACAGATCAGTACGACAAGGCAGCAACTGGAATATAACTTATAGATGTAATTACCTGAATAAAGCTGGTTAAAAGTCCAACAACTAAATAAAAAAGGTAACTAATTTATAGGTAAAGTTTTCATTAGCTGTAAAATTAGTTATAAGAGGCTAATATGGATTTGGCTGGGATATAGTGGTACTTTCTCAGTCATCGGAGGGCACAGAACATAAGGAAGGAAGCTAGAGTAAGTCAACAGACAAAAAAAGGTTTCTCCTTCCTTACACGTAATACACACATTAGTCTGGAAATCATTTCTCCTCTGTCAATTCTTATTTCTTTCGTAAATTGAACATAATCGAATTATTGCAAATTTTGCATCGAGTGTGCAGCTAATTACTTAGAGAGGAGTTACAATTTTCCATCTTATTCATACGAAGAAATCTTCCACTTCCTTATTAAGTTTGTTAATTGAGATAATTAGAGCAGATATGGAGTTGGAACATCAATACACATTTAATTTGAAAACAAAAGAAGTAGTAGGTGATGAATGATGGATGACAAATTACCTTAAACAGAAGATACGAGCAAGCAAGGTCCGTAGCCCTAATCCTAATGAAGAAGATAGATAGAGATGAGAGATCCAAGGTCAAACCTTTACATTACTTACTATGAAGAAGAGGGACGAAAAGAGTTGCAGTGGAGTTTAAGTAAACCTTTACCTTACTGGAAATTTCTCTCGCTTCTCCCTGTGTTTAACAATAAGTAACCTTTATTTCGTAAATACTTCTAAAAAATAATATCAAACTTTATTAAAAATAAGAGCAATTATAAAAAAAATTCAAACATCCATTTTAAACTTTCAATTATTTTAAATAATGAAAAAGAACCAAAAATTAAGTTATAATATGAAATTGAGGGAGTAATACTACCAAATAGTGTTTTTATAACAAAAAAATTAAGTACGAATTGAAATTAAGAGTTGAAATGATAGTAATTAAAAATAATGAATTTGGCTCAAGATAAGAGAAAGATCCAAGTTTGTTTGATGATTATAAAGTAAAAAATTAAATTATAATTTGGCAACTATTTACCTCATCAATGAAATACAAAATTAAATAACTCCCCATGCCACGTATAAAACATTTGAAGTCATGCCAAAGTAATTAAGGAAAATGAGAAGAAAGCAGTACGATTTTATTTTGCAAATTAGAAAAAGAACATGTAAGAAGAGAGCACGTGTTATTCGTCTTTTCTAAGCCCTTGCGAAACAAAAAGATCCGACCCGTTCCATAGAGATTTGACAAACAAGACTTTTCAAAATCAAAATCAAAATAAGTATTAGCAAAAGTGTGGCCGTCTGCCGGACTCCGACGACCCTCAGACGAACAGCTCTCAATTCGGGGCTGGAATCGTCTATAAGGTATCCCAAGTTTTCCATTCGATCCACTCTTTTACTCTTCCAAATTCCCTTTTTTTAATCACTCAATTTTGCTGATCTGATTGGAAATGATTTAGATCTGACAATTCCAATTTTAAGATTTGATCATTTAGTTATTTCTGCCGAATTTTCATTTTAAATAACACTATGGCGCATTGCCTGTGCTTTGGAATTCGCTAAAGGGATGATCTTGGATTGTTTTTGAGATCCTTTCTATGCCCCCACCCTGCCGTCATATTTTCTTTTTGGATGGTAGTTCTGGTGGCGTAATTGAAAATTTTAAGCATGATGGTGTTGAATATGTTTACTGTTTTTCCCCTTTTTTTGTTTCAAGGGGGATTGGGGGTGAAATTTATAGTTGTTGTTGTTCTATTGATTCCCAAAGTATGTAAGGCAAAGCTTGCCATGTTGTAGAGTTAGGACAATGGCTTGTGAATCTTGCTCGAAAAATTCTAATGTGATTGCCTGGCAGAATGATCAAGTAAAAGTGACCTAAAGCTTTTAGGTTGGTTTATTAAAATGTTGAAAGAGACAAAGAAAAAAGGCTTGATTTTGAACACTCGCAAGTGGAGAAATATGAATTACTTACTAGCTATGATATTTGGAATAGTATGTGTTAACATGGTAATAGAGGTAAATATTTGTCGGATTCAAAAATTTCTTCAACCCATGGCTTACAGGGCTGCTCTGCATGTGTTTGGAAGTGCTGCGCTTTAGATAGATAAGGAACTTCTTATGGCATGGGACGCAGGATTAATTTTTTTTGTTTGCATAGAATTCCATATTTATCACAACCGACTTGGATTAAATTACTGTTTAAGCATCCAACTGCATGGTGTTATTACACAGTAAGAAATGCATCTATCTTTACTGGATATATGTGTATATGGTCCTGTTACATTCTCCATCTTCTATGACAAAGGGACTATCTTTGTTATGAACAAGTAAACCATTTTTTCTGAAGTTTCTTTCTTGATGTTGGTTTTCATATAGTTCTGCTATGAACCTGTCAGGTTTGTTAACCTTTTAACTCTTAGTTTCATATCCACATTTATCAGCATGGACGAGATACAGGAAGTGTCTTCATTCTTTGGTTTCACACTTCATTGCTTTACTTATCTCATATCAAACAACTTATTGCTGCTCAGGGTAACGGTTCAGACAAGCAGCTGCCTGATTCATCGTTTTTTTCATACATTTCCAATTGAAGTGAACTGAATCATAAGTTAAAATTATGATGGGGTGCCCTAATCAGCAGAGTGGAGTCAATACTCCAATTTCAGAACCCAAGGTTCATACTATAAAGCCTTCCAGAGGTGCCTTAGAATGTATGGTGAATTCAGAAATTGGTGCTGTTTTAGCCGTGATGAGGAGAAATGTTAGGTGGGGATTTCGTTATGCTGCTGAAGATGATCAACTGGAGTATTCTCTCATCCAATCTTTCAAGGAATTAAGGAAAAAGATATTCTCATGGAGACATGAGTGGAACAATGTTGATCCACTTCTATACCTTAAGCCCTTCTTGGATGTGATCCAATCTGATGAGACTGGTGCACCAATAACTGGTGTTGCATTGTCATCTGTATACAAGTTCTTGACTCTAGCAATAATTGAATCAGCTGACATGAACGTGGACAAAGCTTTGCATCAGATAGTTGACGCTGTGACAAGCTGCCGTTTTGAAGTGACTGATCCTGCCTCTGAGGAAGTGGTGCTGATGAAGATACTTCAAGTTCTTTTGGCTTGTATGAAAAGTAAAGCATCAAAGAATTTGACCAACCATCATGTATGCAACATAGTAAACACCTGTTTCCGATTGGTTCATCAAGCAAGTGCTAAAAGTGAACTTCTGCAGAGAATAGCACGCCACACGATGCATGAATTGGTTAGATGTATCTTTGTTCACCTGCCTGACATTGAAAGCAGAGTGTGCGCTGATCCAGAGGTAATTGAGATTCTCTTTCTTTTCGTCCCCTGTATTTTTACTTGGAGTTAGGACATTCACTTTTATGTACATGTAATTTTCAACAGACAATTACACAAAGCACTGTTTCACGTGTGAGGGCTTGTTTTGTTTATATTTTGTTGTGAACTTACAACTTTTTGCTACATTAGTTTCTTAATCAGAGGTTACCGTACAGGGTAAACACTTTCTAGAAAAAGACCAACTATTAAGTAAACAGAATTATTAAATGTTGATAAATTATCATACAAGCCTTATCTAAATAAGCAGTTGCAGAATCCTAACACGGAGATGCTAAGGAATAAAGTTTACTCTTTGAAATCCAATGCAATTGATACAAATCACGCTCTCTAACTTGACCCTAGAATGGCTTACACTTTTGAGTCTTGTGAATTTCCTGTATATTAGCTCACTCTCCTAAGTATGGAGCTTGCACACTTACGGCTTAGAATTCAGCCTGTACACTAATTTAGGCCTAAGCCCAAACTGATAAATTTAGCTTCTTTGAACTGGATCTCGTGTGATGCATTTTAGACACAGAGCAGTTTACTAACCGTATTGGGGACTCGCGTGTTTTCTGTCTATTGATAGTTTTCCTGAGCTCTAAATTATATCAGTGAGGGGTTGATTGAGATTTAGATATTTCATCTCTTAAGTTCTTGACACTTGAATACTAGTATCACCTTCTTGTATATTGTGATTCATAAAGCCATTTTCTTGCAGACTGGCAAGAAACAAGAAGACAATGGATGTGTTAATGTGTCCGTAGGGGATGATCCAACAGATGAGAAAACTAGAAAAAGGGATATTGCTTGTAATGGAGAAAATCCAATGATGGATCCTCATGGGGTCCCCTGCATGGTGGAGATATTTCATTTCCTATGTTCTCTTCTGAATGTGATGGAGTCCATTGAAATTGGTTCAAGATCCAACCCTATAGCGTATGAAGAAGATGTCCCATTATTTGCGCTGGGTTTAATTAATTCAGCCATAGAACTAGGTGGTGCTTCTTTTGGAAATCATCCCAAGTTGTTGGCTCTGATACAGGAGGAATTGTTCCACAATCTGATGTGTTTTGGGTTGTCAATGAGTCCTTTAATTCTTTCGACAGTTTGTAGCATTGTTTTAAATTTGTATCATCATCTGCGTTTTAAGTTAAAGCTACAGCTTGAAGCCTTTTTCTCTGGTGTTTTACTGAAGATTGCCCAGAGCAAGCATGGAGCATCTTATCAACTTCAGGAGGTTGCCATGGAAACACTTGTTGACTTCTGCAGACAGCATATGTTCGTGGCAGAAATGTATGCAAATTATGATTGTGACATATCCTGCAGCAATATTTTTGAAGAACTTGCCAACCTGTTATCAAAAAGCACTTTTCCAGTTAACAGTCCACTTTCAGCTCTAAATACTCTTGCCCTGGAGGGTCTAATTGCCATTATTCAGGGTATGGCTGAGAGAATAGGCCAGGATTCATTAGTTTCAGATGAAGGTTCATTTAATCTCGATGAATATAGACCATTTTGGGTAGAAATATGCAAGGACTATAGTGATCCTATTCATTGGGTTCCTTTTGTCCATAAGATGAAGCAAATAAAGAAAAAGTTGTTGGTTGGAGTTGATCACTTTAACCGTGATCCAAAGAAGGGTATGGAATATCTCCAAGCAGTGCATCTGTTACCTGATAAACTTGATCCAAAAAGTGTAGCATGTTTCTTTAGATTTTCAAATGGCTTGGATAAGAATCTTGTTGGGGATTTCTTGGGAAGTCATGAAGAATTCTATATTCAAGTACTTCATGAATTTTCAAGGTCATTTGATTTTCAGGATATGAACCTAGACACTGCCTTGCGTATATTCTTGGAGACGTTCAGATTGCCTGGAGAATCACAGAAAATACACAGGGTGCTTGAAGCGTTCTCTGAACAATATTATGAGCAATCACCAGATGTTCTGGTTAACAAAGATGCTGCACTTGTGTTATCATATTCACTTATCATGCTGAACACGGATCAACACAATACACAGGTCAAGAAGAAGATGACGGAGGAAGATTTCATCCGCAACAACCGGAGAATAAATGGAGGAAATGACCTCCCTCGAGAATTTTTGTCTGAGCTTTACCACTCCATCTGTGAGAATGAGATCCGGATTTCCTCAGATCGAGGTGCTGATACCCCATTGCTGGCACCAAGTCATTGGATTGGTCTGGTCCACAAATCGAGGCAAACTTCCCCGTTTATTGTCTGTGATCATGGACCTTATCTTGATTATGATATGTTCGCTATGCTGTCTGGTCAGACAATTGCTTCCATCTCAGTGGTTTTAGATCATGTGGAGCAGGAAGATGTCTGGCAAACATGCATTGATGGATTTCTTGCCATTGCCAAAATTTCAGCCTCCTACTGCTTTGATGATGTATTGGATGATTTAGTAGTATCTCTTTGCAAGTTCACAACTCTTTTGTGTCCATCATATACTGATGAATTTATTGTTACATTTGCCCAAGATAATAAAGCTAGATTGTCCACTTTAGCTGTCTTCACAATAGCAAACAAGTATGGGGACCATATTCGTTCTGGTTGGAAAAACATCCTGGACTGCATTTTGAGCTTGCATAACTTTGGCCTTCTTCCTACTCGTCATTTTAGTGATGACGTGGAGTCTACTTCTGATGCTGACAAAAGCAAACCTGCTGCAGCTTCCCCATCAGCACCTCATGTGCCTTCATTGGCTCCATCAAGGAAGTCATCTGGCTTAATGGGCCGATTTAGCCAACTGTTATATCTTGATGCAGAAGAACCTGCTCCTCAGCCAAATGAAAAGCAGCTTGCCGCCCGTCAGCAGACTCTTCAGACTATTCAGAATTGTCACATTGATACCATCTTTGCTGAGAGTAAGTTTTTGCAAGCAGAATCCCTTTCACAGCTTGTCCGAGCCCTTGTGATGGCTGCGGGCCGGCCTCAGAAGGGCAACATCTCTCTAGAAGATGAAGAGACTGCAGTATTCTGTCTAGAGTTGCTGATTGCAATCACGATAAACAACCGGGATAGGATAATGCTTCTTTGGCAGGTTGTTTATGAGCACATAGCAAGTGTTGTCCAATCAACAACAATGCCTTGTACTTTGGTAGAGAAGGCTGTTTTTGGTCTGCTTCGTATATGCCAAAGGTTGCTTCCTTACAAGGAAAACCTCACAGATGAGCTCCTCAAGTCACTGCAACTCATCTTAAAGCTCGATGCAAGGGTCGCCGATGCTTTTCTTGAACAGATAACCCAGGAGGTGATGCACCTTGTCAAAGCAAACGCTATGCAGATACGATCTAATATGGGCTGGAGGACAATTATATCTCTGCTTTCTATTACAGCTCGGCATCCAGAAGCTTCTGAAGCAGGATTTGAAACACTATCATTCATCATGGCTGATGGGGCCCACCTACTGCCTGCTAATTACATCCTTTGTTTAAATGCGGCCAGCCACTTTGCTGACTCCCGTGTTGGAAGTGTTGATCAAGCTGTGAGATCCTTAGACCTGATGGCTGGGTCACTTGTTTGTCTTGTTAGATGGTCTCACAAGACAAAGGATGCTCTGGGGGAAGAGGCTGCTATAAAAATGTCTCAGGATATAACTGAGATGTGGTTGAGGCTGGTACAGGGACTCAGAAAGTTTTGTTTGGATTGGAGAGAAGAGGTGCGAGGTCATGCCATCTTGATGTTGCAGAGGTGCTTGACAGTAATTGAGGGGATTCACATTTCAACTGATCTGTGGTTGCAGTGTTTTGATCAGATGATCTTTACAATGCTGGATGAATTGCTGGAACTTGCACCACAAGGTTCCTTGAAGGATTACAGGAGTATTGAAGGAGCAATTTTTCTGTCTCTGAAGCTCATGTTCAAAGTGTTTCTACAATCACTGCAGCATCTCTCACAGTTGCCATCCTTCTGCAAACTATGGTTAGGGTTACTGGATCATACTGAAAGATGCATGAAGATGAAATTTAAAGGTAGACGGAGTGAGAAGATTCCAGAACTTGTCCCTGAACTCCTAAAGAACACTCTACTTATCATGAAAACTAGTGGAATTCTCATACCAAGTGATCCTGTAGGAGGGGACAGTTTCTGGCAGCTAACGTGGTTGCATGTGCACAAAATATGTCCATCCCTTCAATCAGAAGTTTTCCCTTCTAGTGAATTGGAGCAGTTGCAAAAGCAGCACATTCAAGCTGGATGTAGCCCTCTCTCAGAGGGAACTGTTCTAGTCTCACCTAGTTAAAACACATACTGAAGATTCATGCTGTTGACAACACTTTCATTTGGTGAAACTGACATTCTTAATCCATCATTAGCATGGTGAGAGGATACATTGTGCAGCTGAGAACGTGTCAGGCGTTAGGCGAAATACGTTCATTGAAGCACAAGCTACAACCTGCTGGAGCAAAGATGGTTTCTGATTTACAAGTGATATCTCCATTCTGAATGCTATATGGTGTTTTACTGTTAAAAGAGCCTTGCTTTCGAGGGAAGATTAGGGAGAGGGTTTGCCTCGTGCAATTTTGTGCTTCTGTGGCGGTTACTGCACTTTAAGTTTGATAACTTAGTTGTTACCATTTTGGCTGTACAATATTGACTTTACTACAAATTAGTGATTGATATATGATAGTATGAAAGGTTACGGTTAGTTGATACATTTGGTTTCTTAGAAGTTATATGTTCCGATTACATATAAGATATAGATTGCTCTTATACTGTTTAATGCAAGACCATTCTGAAAACATGGATATAAAATACAGCATATACAGTAATATCAAGACTAGTCTAATTGTAATACTACAAATGATTTGTTCCCAAAGAGTGCATCTTCCCTCATCTTTCGTTAATGTAGTACAAAATTGCTTGGTGCTAGTTTTATGAAGTTCTTTCACCGTCTAATTTACTGAACTAGCAAGGATTTACACACTATGCATGTGAATTTTGGTAAATTACCTTCTTATTTTTGTTGTTTTTTCAGGAGTATATCAATCTGATTACATAAGCAACTGAGATTTGAGAAGCAACTTTTTTGGTACAATAATTGAGTTTTATTTCCTTTCCACACTGTTTTGCATCATAATATCTTTTGCTTTTGAAAACTTTCTTGGCCCAATGTATCTGCATTGAAATCTAAAAGAAATCTGCACGTAATATTAAAAAGGCACGAAACCAAACCTTATACAGGGTGTTAGGGACACCATTAGCACCTAAAGACGGATTTGATGCCCAACACAAAGGACCAAAAGAAGGAGAAGGATATATGCGTACCCGTTTTCTAACCAAGTTAAAAAAGTATAGGCCAATTCTTGTCACCACACTATATGGCTTTATTTATCATCCATCGAGCACATCTAAGTAAAAATGGAAGTGTATGGATTGCAAATAGATTTACATCCTCTCTGAACTGAGATATTTCAGTCTGACAATTATGTTAAAAGAAAAATGGTAGAAGACAAAGATACACACAGCGCACCAAAAATTGGCAAGTTTGAAGTGACAATTATGTTTGATATAACTGTTGCCATCTCACTGACAATGACGTCCAAGAGGATTTTAACCACTCAGCAAGCTGCGTCACCCATATTTAAAGCCCCAAATGCTGAACTTGAATTTTGTCGAGTCCTCGTCTTTTGTAGATGTTTTACCTTTACTCATGCGGCATCAGCTCAACCTCATTGAGCAATCTGACTTCTCATTACTTTCAATACAGCCTTCAACATCTCTAAAAACTGCTCAATAGTTTTGATTTGAGCATCAACGGCATCACAAGTACTTGAGCAGTCCTGATTGTACATGCATTATACCACAAGTTTCATGCAGGGCAATTAGAAGTTGATGTCACTTTATAAATTCAATTTAACAATATTTAAGTTAAAATACCAACATCTATGGCATCTGCAAGAGCCTTCTTCCTTGCCCTGGTATTTGCAATTTCAAGAGCTGTGCTTCTTGCAAAAAGAATCTGCAGGTCAACATTATTGTCAGCCTAAATCAAAGAAGAAATTAAATGGGTGACTGGTGTAACTGTCGTCAGCAAGCAGAATTTAATATTAATACCATCTTTCCACGGAACAAGTCCCTCTTGAGAATCCGATAAGAAACATTCAATATCTCTGCATTCTGCAATACTGGCATTTTTAGCAATAATCCAAGCAGAAATGCAACCATGTAAAAGCGAAGTGACCTGAAGCTACTAAAGGCATTGCACAACACTGATAGAACTTGCTGATATGCCCAAAACAGGAATTCTGTACCTTTCTTATTGTGTTGAAAGCAGTTGGATTTCCTGTCGGTAAGCACCTACATAACATCCCAGCAGGTCGCCAGAATGATTCATGAATACCAGAAAGCTTAACCTGATCAAATGCCGCGGCTTTTAAGATGTCAGAATCATCAGCAAGTTCCTTGAACAGTCTGCAGCTGTGATGAGGAAATCAGGATCAGAAGCAACATAATCTGCAAGATAACCACAAGAGATATGCAGACACCTTTTACTGGACCCTTTTCGATTTTGTACAAGGGGAAATCGTAAACACCCATAGGACATATGTTGGGTCATATACTAGGCAGAAGTTGATACACAGGTGATACGTCAGCTTCAACAGGAACTCAATTTCAAAGTTAATCGCAGAAAGAGTATTTAATCACATCAAAAGAATAGGAAAGGACATAGAAATCAAGGTAAATAAGGTCAACAGTAATCTAGAATTAAGAAACATATGGAAACAAGAGAAAGATTTCGGGAATGATACTTACACTGATAAAGTTCGGGCAAGATTTCCAGCTCCATCAGGTGACACAGCAACATGATACATAACGTGTTTCAACACATCAAAGTTCAAATCTGTTATTTTAGATTGCCTCTTCCGCTTCATAATTGCTGAAATAAATTCAAGAGAGTCAATGAGGCTTCATTGCTTAACCTCTTTTGATTCATTTTATTGGAAGAGAATAGCAGAAGGAAACCAAAAGGCTCAGTTTAAATCTACAAGCCCATAATGTGAATTGCAAGATAATGTCGAGCAAAATAAGATAAGTGAGCCATGTTTTAGAAAACTGCAAAGCTTCTTCACTTATGTAAGCATCACTTCACACCATAACCAGCATCCAAGTATCATATGAAAATAAAGAATATTAAAGCTCGCTAATGAACAGCTTAACGAGCTTGGGAATAAATGAAGATTGAAAAAGGAACTAGTTAAAAGGGATAATCTGAACAAGATCAGTCAACACTCGCATCAGCTGGCTTACAAGAATGTAGAATCAAGATGGAGAAAGACGAAAAAAATTATGAAGGAGAAAGGCCAATTTTATGAAGTGAGGTTGAGATTGTTCCTGCTTATTGCTATTGTCGTCTTTTTCATCTGTTTTGAATTGAGGGCCCATCAAAAACAGTAGCTCTACCTTTTCAAGGTATGGATAAGGTTTGTGAATACATTACCCTTCCTATACCTTAATTGTGGGATTACACTCGGTTTGTTGATGTTGACATCCTAGTTTTCAAGACCTAGCCTCTCTCTTCATATTGCAAGTTACACAATTGAAGTTTCACAATCTTCGGCCTAATTTCGAAACTAAGAAAAATGTAACAGCATAGTCCAAATCCAAATAAAGTAGAATTGATGTAAAAGATTCAAATTTCCCGTAATTGTTGTGAAGCAATGCATATTCCACATTCAAAGTTGGAGAAACTTACAAATCAACAGAAAAGCCCCCCACCCCATCCCCTACGGGGTGGAGGGGAGGGGCAAGAAACCCAAAAATGAAAACCCAATTTATATAACTAAAAAAAAAAACTTTCAGGCTAATCAAGAAAGATAACATAATGCAACACGAGCTATAGGATATACCCAATTTATACTTTATTCCATTAAAGAAAATCGTCTTTTTAACACCCACATAACACACGGTGAAATTGATTAATACAAAAAAAAACAATTGAAAAATCAACCAAATTGGAGTACTGAGCATAGAGAAGAAGATAAAGATGCCAAGAAAACGCGTGCAGCAAAAGTAATCGATTCAAACCGCGTACCATTATAAATCGAAATGGATAAAGAATCTCAGGAAGATGAAAAGTAAAGAACCAGATACCTATGTTGAACGTGAATGGCGGAGACAAACAGAGGTGGAATTGGAGACAACATTCAAATAGAGTACAATTGATATAAAAGATTCAAATAGGCAACTGTTGAACTAGTTTAGGAGGTGTAATTGTTCCGAAGCAATGCACAATCCACATTCCATGTTAGAGAAACTTCCAAATCAACAGAAAAGCCCCTACCCCAGCCCCTACAGGGGCGAAGGGGAGGAGCAAGAAACCCAAAACTGAAACCCCAATTTATATATAAACAAGAAGAAGAAAACTTCAGTCAAGAAAGATAAAATAATGCAACCAGAAACCTAATCTTGATCTATAGGACATACCCAGTTCATACCCAGTAAAGAAAAATCATCTTTTTTTAACACCTCTATTGCCGAAATCGATTAATACAAAAAACCCAATTGAGAAATCAACCAAATTGGAGTTCTAAGCATAGAGAAAAGATGCCAAGAAAACGCAAAAGTAATTTATTCAAACCGCTTAACGTTACAACATCGTAATGGGTAAAGAATCTCAGTCAAGAATTTGCGATACCAATAGAGGAAGATGAAAAGGTAAAGAACCTGGATACCTGTGTCGACGGTGAATGGCGGAGACAAACGGCGGTGGATGGCGGAGACAAACGGCGGAAATGATACGTTGACGACAGTGTCAAACTATGACACACTGCTCTCTGAGCCTTTTCACTTTCTGTTCTACTTCTAAAATGAGACGATAAATAGGTTTTTTTTCTAAATGGAGAAGTTTAAAACGGATCTGAATAATTAATTGTTTTTTACTTTATATTTATTATTATAAATAAAAATTTAAACATATAAATACTTCCCATTCACTTTACTTATCCTCTTTACTGCAGTGATGATTAATATTATAAGAATGTTCATATTAATTAATGTATAGTTTTAGATTTTAGGAGATAACTTTAGAAATATGTAATCACTGTTAAGGATAAAATAATTCTTTTTTTTGTAACATTGTTAATATTACCTTTGACAAATAGAAGCAACAAAAATACAAACTAAGGAGCACCTCGATATTCTTATGACTGGATGGTCGCAGGCCTAAAAAAACCTTAAATCTAATACATGTGTAATTTATGCACTAAATCTCTACATCTTTGTAACTTTTATATAGGTAAGGTATTGTTAGTCTTTGTAACATCTCCTTCTTTATCTGCTTGATTACACTAATTGTACAGTTTATCCCTTAAACAATTTTCAATTATGAGCCCTCTATGTGTGATAAATCATTGCCCCCCATATGGCTGCTATAATCTCCTTTTGGATGGCTTGCCAGTGTTTCCTCCTGATTTCCAGTAACACTTGTTTCGAACTTCCATGTTAGTCTAATTCCAGTCCATTGCATCATATCTTCCCTTATGGATTGAAACCACGCGCATTCATCAAATAGATGTTTAGTTGTTTCCTCATTAGTAGAGTTACACATGCAACATTGCAGGTCATCTACAAAAATATGCAGTTGAGTCAATCTCCCTTTGGTGAGCAACCTATCCTTTGTAGCTAGCCACACAATGAACCTATGTTTAGGTTGAGCTACTCCATTCCAGATTAAATTCGCAAAATCAACCTTCACTTGGCTCCCCAAAATAACTAAATAACTCTTCGATATAGAATAATCTCCTATGGGGGATAGATTGTATCTTCCTTGAGTATACCAAGCTCTCATGCCATCCTTTAGAAAATTAAGCTTTTTCCAATACCAACTATAGTCGTGAGGGTATTTGTGTTCCCAAAATGAAGAAATTTTTTTTCATATAAATGTCATGTACCCACTTTACCTAGAGAGAGTTTTTATCCACCACCAGTTGATATAGCAATTTCCCAATAGAAGCCAAATTCCAAATCCTACATCCTTTGACATTCAGTTCTCTATTGCGCTTGGGCTTACAATTTGTGTCTCATGCTATAGGTGAATGTTCCTTTGATCCTCTTTGACTCCCCATATGAACTTCTAACATCTCTGATCGACCTCCTTCAACACACTTTATGGCAGAACGAATATCTCACCTCAAAATCATGAATCGAAAACGAAACAACATTTAGAATTTGTAATCTTCCAGCATAAGTAGGAAAGCTGCTTCGAATGCCCGGTACTGATTCTACTGGTAATCTTATCAATCAAAATCTTGCAATCAAGTTTGTTCCATTTCTTATGAGATAATAGAAGCCCCAAATATTTGATGGGAAATTGTTTTTTTTTTTAATATGGTAAAAGTGAAGTAAAAAAAATTTAAAATAATTGACAAGTAAAAGTAATTATTTTTTTTAGAATTAATAAGGTAAAATTTGATCAATTGGGTTGATCAGACTCAATTTAAACCTAGCTTGAATTTTTATTTTTGTTGAGTTGTGGACGTTTTAAAAATCGTAAAATTCTTGTAAGGAGTAAATTAGTAATTAACGTAATTATTAATAGCTTAGTTTAATCATGATACTTGTCACAATAATAATTATAATAAATTAGTAATTTTGTACTTCTTTATTGTCACAATAATAATAATAAATTAGTAATTTTGTACTTCTTTATTGATATACCTAAGCTTTTAACCAGATTATTTCTTGGAATTTCTCAATAAAAAATATTGGTTGAATTCAATCCTCAATTTAAATTACTGGTTAAAATGTTTTCTTTTGTTAATAAATTAGTTCATTATACAATTTTTTTTTTTACAACACAAAAACATATATTGTTAAAGAGATAATTAGAACTCAACTCATTTATGATTGACTCAATTTGGTTTTGCAACAAGCATCAATGAATTTTATTTGACTCAACGCTTATATCTACTTCTTATTCCTATGAAAATAGTAAAGAGGAATAGAATATTTTGCATTCTTGAGCTTGTAATAAATCCGTAATAACGAGTTAATTGTGATGATTATAACCTCTCATTATGATCCCACCGATTTTTGCATAATGCCTAAAAAATTATTTTTCTTCTAATGATCTTTGTGATACTTATACAAAGTTATGTGACTTTTTGGATATAAAAAACAGTTTAATAATTTTTGTGATATTTTGAATAAATTAAATGACTTTTTCATTGAAAAACAGTATTTAGTAACTTTAATGCAATAAAATAGAAGTCGAGATGCAATAAACAATTATTTTTAGTAATGAAATAATTTGACTTGATCATTAATTACCAGCATGTTTGCTTTTAAGCAGTATTTTCTATTTGCAATTGTGTGCATTATATTAATAGAGTAAATAATTTTTTTTTAAAATAAAAAATCAAAACTTGTCCGCTAAATTTACTTTAGCACTTTAACTTTACAAATAATTATTTATCCTCATAATCTCATTTAAAGTAAATTAAAATTCACCCAAACAGCTAATGTGGCAAAAAAACATTAAAAGCGAGCGAAAAGATAAAAACAAATTTGAAAAAACAATTAGGTCTCCTCTTTTTCTTTTCAACCAATAAGGTTTCTTCTTCCTCACACCCCACCACCTTTAGCCACCGACAACCTCACCCTTTCTTCTTCCTTACACCCCGTCACCGCCGCCGCCATCAACCACAACCTGCACCACTTCCTTCTTTGACAAACCCTTCACATTTTTTTGAAATCCTCCACCCTCACTCTATTTCTCGATCTTCGAGCTCCCCACCGCACCCCTCTTTCTCCTTTTTTGAACCCCGCTTCCACTCATACCTGCCTCACCCCTTTCTCTTCTTCTTCCTCCGGCCCTCATCCTCGCCACCTTCTTTCCGAAACACCCCCACCAATTCCTTCATTTCAAATTATTATTGCTTATTCTTAAAAGTGATGAACAATTAAAAAAAAATGAAAAAATCAACAACTTATTGTTGCTTCAAGATCTTACTTATGAAAGTGTTTGTTGACTATGATGAACTTGAAGCTTTTTCTAATAAAAAAAAACTATAATTTCTTCGTCTCAAATTAGTTTTTAAATTGTTATTATTTATTTATTTTGATAATGTGGTTTAAAAATTGAATGTTTTCTAGTATTGAAATTGTAGAGTTTGATTATTATTTTTTGAGATTTTTTTTAATAATCTTAGATTAATCCTCATTTTTCCTATTTTTTATCTTTCTAAAATTGTATAAACAAAAATAATTTAAAAAAACTCAAAATTTAAATAATTTTCAATGTGACAGCTGATGTGGCAATGACATGGCACATGTATATTGTATTCTGAGACTAGTATTGTAGTGTTATGGTTGAAAAAAATCCACTTAAAAAATGTTAAGGGGTATTTAAACTCCCCTATAGTTTAAGTGCTAAAATAAGTAGTGATGCCAAATTCATGGGGGCTTTTATGTATTTTCTCTATATCCCTACTAATATATAAGAGGAGATAGCCAGGCAGGTCATGGTCGACATGCATGCCTGCCTGACAGCTTCCCCTACATTCAATTATTTTTTCTTCCGTTTTAATTTGTTTGTTTTATTTTTTAATTTTTTATATATTATAAAATTGCGTAAAATAATATTATAAATCATGATAATTGACAACATTATAAATAATTTGATTGCTTATAAAAAAAATTGATTGATTCATAAAATTAATCAATTTGTGTCACACAAAATGAGACAAAATAAGTAACATGTATTATTTAATTTAGAAACTACATAAAAAGTATTGTAAATCTCAACAACTAACAACATTTGATTGACTCTTGAAATTATATATGTGCTACATACATTGGGACAAGAGAAGTGACATATATTATTTAAAAAATACGTAAAAAGTGTACTATAAATTACAATCATTAACAACTTAAAATATTTAAAAATCATACTAAAATTTAATTGACTCTCTAAACTCTATCTATGTCACATAAAATGAGATAAAAATAACAGATATTGGGTCCGTGCTAGCATGGGCACTTGTGTCTAGTTATATTATAAGTAGTAATATTTGTTTGGTCAAGATAAACAAGAGGGGATGTAGCTCAAATGGTAGAGCGCTCGCTTTGCATGCGAGAGGCACGGGGTTCGATCCCCCGCATCTCCATTTGTTTTTTCTACAAATTGAAAGGATACTTTAGTAAAGTATTTTTATGCTTAAAAACTAGAGAAAATATTTAGTTGAATACATAAGGAGAACCGAAACGTAATTAGTGCCAAATGATTATTTACCAATTATCAATTCGAGCCTATTTGGATTAGCTGGATTTAAGTACGCGTTTGGCATTTCAATTTAAAATTATTTCGAAAAAAGACGAATAATTTTCATAGTTGGTTTGATATAGTTGAGCATAGGCTGTTCAAAAAAAGTTATTGGTTTATCTTGGGTCATTGGTTTAGCGGTTTTGATAACGGTTTTGATTTTTTTTTTGTTATCGGGTTATCGATTCTTAACGGTTTAAGATTTTTTCTTAACGGGTTAACCGATAACCCGATAGTAAATTAGATAATTATTATTGTATAACTTACATAAATCCCATAGTGTAAAACCTAAATTACATTCTATCCCTACTTTTTTCTATTTTACAAAAATCCCTTAAAAATTATAGCATCCGAATACATTATATTCAGGCAAATACATAAATTTCGATACATAAAATAACTTAATTGTTGCGCTTAAAAAGGAAGTAAATGTAAAATTAATTATCAATCCCACGAATCATGCAAAACAGATTGATGTCAATTTATTCCAATCAGTAATAGATTCAGAGAATTCAAAATTCAAATTTTCTTCTCCTCCATCTATCCCAAATCATAACAA